TATCTGTTGTCTTAAGTCAAGACTGCTGTAACTATCTGTTGTCTAAGTCAAGACTGCTGTAACTATCTGTTGTCTAAGTCAAGACTGCTGTAACTATCTGTTGTCTAAGTCAAGACTGCTGTAACTATCTGTTGTCTAAATCAAGACTGCTGTAACTATCTGTTGTCTAAGTCAAGACTGCTGTAACTATCTGTTGTCTAAGTCAAGACTGCTGTAACTATCTGTTGTCTAAGTCAAGACTGCTGTAACTATCTGTTGTCTAAGTCAAGACTGCTGTAACTATCTGTTGTCTAAGTCAAGACTGCTGTAACTATCTGTTGTCTAAGTCAAGACTGCTGTAACTATCTGTTGTCTAAGTCAAGACTGCTGTAACTATCTGTTGTCTAAGTCAAGACTGCTGTAACTATCTGTTGTCTAAGTCAAGACTGCTGTAACTATCTGTTGTCTAAGTCAAGACTGCTGTAACTATCTGTTGTCTAAGTCAAGACTGCTGTAATTATCTGTTGTCTAAGTCAAGACTGCTGTAACTATCTGTTGGCGAAAGTGTCGTCATGAATCGACTGGTTGAGACACATACGTAGGGATTAACAATCAGTTAGCTACTTTGTGACTGATGAAATTACGTATTAACTAGGTCATTGCAAGTAGAACTACACGTAAAATACATCATCATAAATGAAATTACCCGGTGACTTCGTCTTTGGTTATAAAACTACGAATTAACTACGTCATTCATGATGGAAATACATATAATGAAGTTATAAATGATGCAACTACATGTTAACTACGTCATCTATTATGGAATAAAACTTTAACTACGTCATAAATCAATGGAACTACACGTTAACTATGTCTTTATTAACGGAACTACAAGTCAGCTACGCCATCAATGATGGAACTACGTGTTAACTACGTCACCACAAATGTGACGACACGTTAAAAACATCATCGTGGATCAAACTGTACTACGTCACTAGTGATGGTACTAGAAGTCAGGAATAGGCGAAAATTGGTAAATCGAACAAAACTGAAGACACGAACGTTCGTGTTCCATTGGAGCATGCAAATATTTACCAATGTATAAATACGAAATATCAGGAATGCAAAATCCAGTAACATAAACCATGTTTGTTCTTTGAAAGACATTGGTAGAAATTCAAATAAACTCTTTATTCACAAAATAAATTTCTCTTTTTTGTCTTTGTAATTTATCAAAATAAATTAAATAAATAAAAGATAAATGAGAAGGCACAAAATATGAATGCATTTGCATAAATGAATAGAATTTGCAAAAACTTAATAATAATTATCACGATGACGTTGATGATGTGGTTAAGATGATGTAAATGACGATGATGCTGGCGACAATGATGATGATGATGACGATAATGATGATGGCGACCACACTGATGACGACAAAGATGATGACGAAAATGATACTGCCGATGAAGACAGTCACAAGACTTGTAGAAAACGTAGGAGACACAGGCGATCCTATAGGAAATGAGCTGACGTCACCAGTATAGGCTTGACTTTGGCTTCCTGTACTAGGACAGTTATGTCTTGCATAATCACTGCCCTTGGAGTCTGAACTGAATGGTGCTACTCCCTTCCTTACCTCTCATGACAGGGGCAGTTTTGTTTTGGCCAATCCTCCCTCATCAGCCCGCAGATAATTATAGGAATGGCTTTGATGGGTAGTTGCTATGATTTCCCATAGAAATATTTATGGATGTATTAGTGTACTGTACTTGTTTTATTTCTTTTCAAATCACGAATTTAAAAACTTTTTAAAAAATTGAAAAGGAATTTGATATTTAACGTTAATTATGATTTAAAAGAAATGTGGGTAGGTATACGATGATTATTCTTTATTTTAAAACCTATAATATATCCGTGGGGAGGGAGGGTGCGCGCGCGCATGCGTGCTGTACAATAATTAATCACTGTTCACCAAGGTTCAAGGAAAGTCGGACACAACATTACGCAATATGCAGATGAGATCTGTGCTAATATTTCTTAAATAAATCTATGGTGTCATTAATTACCTGGCCGAGACTCGACCAGACATGTCTCATCGTGTCTTCAGTGTCTTCACCTGCCAGTAGCACCTGTGTCTCCCCCCAGCCCTGCCTATCAAGTCTAACATTTTGAAATACTAATGTAATATCAGGGGACACTGGTAACCTCCATCAAGGTCATGTCCTGACCTGACCTTGGCCCGAAAGTTAAAACTAAAAGGTCAGTTCAACGTCTCAGACTGGCTGACGTGCATATCCCCCGACTGCTGGTTTTTGGGTCCAGAAGTTCGCCGTGCCGATAGACCTAGATTGCCAAGTTTTCGCGATCTCATACGATCACTAGAAACAGGGATCAGGTCCTTGTGTCTCTACTTTTCCAGAAGCAATCCATCCAGCTATTCATCTCTAAAGAAAGGAAAAGAAAAAAAATCACACACACCATGAGGGCCTCAAAGAATTAGGGGACGATCACCAAAGCCCGGGTTTCTGTTTTAGACTAGCTATGTCAGCTGATTCCATGTAGCGTTGCACGCGTCTTCTATGCCAGGGCGTGTCATGGACATAATGAATCAATCGATGATTGAATGAACGTCGTCAATATCAAACTGTAACAAATATGATAACAAACAATGAATTATGGACGGGGCATATCACAACAGGAGACAACCAATAGGCTGTGCCGTGCAGACAGTTCGTGTAAACACAAACCACAACAACAAAACACACAGCCTGTCAGACAGAATATACATGAATGCTATCAGACAGAATATACACGAATGCTATCAGACAGAATATACACGAATGCTATCAGACAGAATATACATGAATGCTGTCAGACAGAATATACACGAATGCTGTCAAACAGATTGTGGGAACGATAGCGTTTACTAAAGTCATCAAGAAACAGCAGATCAAGTGGTCTGGTCATCTCGTTAGAATGAAGCAACATCAAATACCATTACAAGCACTGCATCCCAGAATATCAGATACAAGATCAAGAGGACGGCCGCCCCCCAAAAAAATGAATCAACAACAATATATACAGTTTACACCTTCGCGGCATGTCATTAGCCAGTGGCAACCATCGTGCACTGGATTACATTGTTTCTTCCCACGGTGGCTGATGATGATGATGATGATGATGATAATGATGATGACGATGGTGATGGTGATGATGATGATGACGATGATTATGGTGATGATGATGACGACGATGATGATGACGATGGTGATGATGATGATGATGATGATGATGATGATGATGATGATTATGGTGGTGATGATGATGATGATGATGATGATGACGATGAAACAAATGAAATTTAAAATAATAATAAAATCATTGATGTTTCTCAGCACAGAGAGTGTTAAGTGAGGTATGTACAAGTTAACGATGACTTGAAACAAATGTGCACTCTACAAACAGGCAATGCTGACGGAACAATACACAGCCTAGACCAAGTAGTCGACATATTCCCGGTGAGGACGTCATGGCTGACCAAGCCTCTGGTTCAGACATGCGTCCAAAAATGAACAAGTAATCTCATATCGGAAACAGAAAGGTAACCGCCAAGTGATCAGGATTTCACAAATACTAGTTCAGAATCTTTTGTGTGTGTGTATGTAGGTTTCCGTGGTTCACAATTGGCTAATTAGCCTCCGTGTGATACCGGAAAGATTATAGGAAGTAAAGGGGTAACTAGTGACATTATCATCTATGGGGTCATGACTGCGCCAAATGAATATGAAACCCTCACCGTGGATACAGTACAGGCTGGCCTCGACTGACTGGCGTTTTACCACAGCCGGACATCACTCCCAGCGATCAACACCCGGTGACACAAAATGTCACCCTTTGGAAAAGGATCACCAGGGGACAGGTCCGAGAAACCCCGTTCAACCCGTATGGTTATAATTAGGATCTCTGACCACAGCCGGGGTGGGGCTTCAATATGACGAAAAATTACATCCCATGTTACCTTCTGACAGGTTGTATATGGAACTGGTCGCAAAGGGAATGTATTCGTTTCAATACTGGTTTATTTAAGTGGGTTATAACAATTGAATTCACAAACAAACAACAAGAAAAAAACTAAAATGCAGTTTATGACCTAAATGAACTGTAGATAATGTCAAAAATAATCATTTATAGTGTAGGGCATTATTCCATATGTTGTTTCTTTGTTTAAACCTGCCGGTGGAGTTATCTTTCTTGATTCGCAATTTCTTGTGTTGTACGTGCAAGTGATCCTTCATCGAACATGTGGCCAGTTCTACTCCTCATATCGTAGACATTGGCTTCTAAGTGTTCTGTCCTTATCCAGAGATTGACAGTCTTGTTGAGCAAAGTCTTCCTAAACTACTAATGTATTGTCTATCGGATGTTTGTTTTCTGAATGGCCAATTAGTGTTTCAGCTCGGGCCTCTCGGCAGGAGCGAACCCAACCCTTCAGTCAAGCATACTCACAAGTTCACCTCCTTGACCACCACTTTCAAAGCTGGCAGATCACTAACGTAAAATAATGTTGTCAAACAGGAATTTATCTTAAACTGTGTCTGCGCCTTCTCACGTCCTCTGACTTGTTTTTCAGATCAACACAATAAACATTATTTTCATAAATAAACATATATACTTATGTTAAGAGTTTTATCATAACTCTGGGCAAATATGACACAAAATGAAAGATCATTTCAGAGCTTAAGTTACACATCGTAAAAACATGACAGATTAATGAAGACCTTATCTATGATTCAGCAATAAAGTGCAGATATACATAGCCTTACAATATTCCTCTCCAACAACTCGCATCTATGTAACAGACACCAACTATCACAGTTATAATCTTAACAAATGTGTTCCATGATATTAAATGTTCAGCTGTGAGACATTCTGCCCGGACTCATCAATAATCCCGCAGCAAATGAATTCAGACGATCACCACGGCAACCATGTCAACAAATATATTTATAAGCAAATGTTTACACCAAGTATCGCCTGTTACAAGAATTCTCGACTTCTCTGTTGACTAGACTTACGAAATCTAGACGATTGCTATGGGGATTTGACTTTCCGTGATGTGACAGGGTAGTTCTGTGTTCGGGTATTTGTGGGTAATGGAGATTGTACGTCGTGATTGGGTCAAATATGGGACATGACTGAGTGTGTGTTAGAATTTGTTGATCTTTCGGGTGAGTTGTTGATGAGTGGGATGATGGGTGAGTTGTTGATGAGTGGGATGATGAGTGATTGGGATTGTTTGGTAACTGGACAAACGGATGGAATATGGCGTCGGTCAGGTTTTCTGGACAGTAGTGTTCCCAGGTCACGTTTGGTAGGAACGATTCCTGGACATAGGCCAGAGAGTGTGTATGTCTGAGAGGCTGATGCGTGGGTTGTTGCTGCTGCTGTAGTTGTTGTGCTGGGAGGTAATCCGTTGACAGAGGAGCTGTAGGCGTCGGTGTTTGTAGATTCTTGGCGTTTTCAGATGACGTCTGAACGGAAGACGTCGCTGTATAAGAGGACGCTGATGAGCGTCTAGAGGAGGGGACAGGAGGAGGTGGTTGTAGATAAACAGGTGTGAAAGATATAGATTTTGATGGCGTCAGGGGTGCCCGAGTAACTGGCGAGGTAGGTGAAGAGGGTGATGAGTGAGCATTGACGGTGTCACATGGATAATCACTGGTCTCGTTATTACCCGGGTCTCCGTCTTGGGGCTCCAGTTTTAAGTACAACTTAGGAACTTCATATGAATCGGTGCCATCCTGGGGAAAGCTGTCGTCATGAAGCGTGAAATCTACAGAGAAACTCCTAGAGCGTGGCCCAGGCTGTCCGCTGTCGCTTCCCGCGACCTTGACACTGTCAAGATCGGAGCAACTTGCAGCTGATCTGAGGGCGCTCTTCACGTACAAATATGGACACGGCGCTACGGCCGAATCTGTTTGTCTACGTTGAACATTATCGTATCCATCATGTTTATTTTCAATGTTTTGTTCATCCAAAAATTCAAGCGACTTTCTTAACTTTTCATTGATTGTGTACACCGTCACTTCCGGAACAAGGGAAGCTACTCTGCTGTCAGTTCTGCTGAGACGTGGAGTTCCGCTGATGGCGGAAATCAAACTTGCTCGTCTGTCTACTGGTAGACACAGCTTACTTCTGCAGAATTCTCGGAACAACCGCTTGAAAGCTGCCCGCAGTTCGTTGTTCTTGAAGGCATACAACCACGGGTTGATGCCACTGTTGAATACGGTAAGTAGGACCAGGTAGGTCTGTATCCATTTGTTGAATGCAGAAGAACTCACTGCCCTAACGAAGACGAAAGTTAGATATGGCAGCCACAGAATCAGAAACACACCTATCACCAGGGCTAATGTTTTGGCGTATTTCGTGTCCTTGATAATAAATTTCACCTGCAGGTGACGATGTACCGCGAATTCCACTGCTGCGATGGCCTTAGCGTGATGCCTTGCAACCATAAAAATACGAAAATAACACACGAAAATGGCTATGCAGGATGGTACAAAAATGGCGCTCAGAAACAGAATTGGCGCCTTTCCCTGTATGAGATTAGAAGAACATGGTGTAGAGGACGTAGGAAGGTCATACCAGCCCGCCATTAGAGGCAGCCATACAATGATGGCAGCATATATCCAGGTGACGGAGACCATAATGGCCACTTTTCTGGATGTCATCACGTTGATGTATTCCAAGGGAGATACCAGTGCCGTGTGGCGATCGTAAGCTATTGTAGCCATTGTTAATACGGACACACCACACGCCATCATCAGCACTCGATTGGGTATCAGACAGACAACTGCGTCTCCTGCCTGCTCCACCCCGCCAAAGTTGAACACCTCAAACATAATTCCGAAAGGAGTGGCGAGGGCCACAAAGATATCCACTGCAGCAAGCGAGGTGATGAAATAATTCGTCGGCGTGTGCAACCTCCTGAAGCGAACCACGCTAATAATGACAAACACATTACTCAACAAAATAAAAGGCACCATGACACTGACAATTGCAACAGCGCCAATTTCCTCGGCTGACCAGGAAGAAGCTGACTGATCTATCGTTTCGTTAGTTGTCTGTAGAAAAGACGAATTCCTCAGAGATTCGATACTGCCCACTATATTACTAATATCCCCAGCAAATGTCACGTCACCTAAAAATGGAAGGGTAACTGACTCGGGTAGATCAGTCAAAGGTAATCCAGTACTTGTCTGGTCACTGTTGGTAAAGTCTGACAAGGGTAATTTGCCTTCTGGCGCAGCATTATCTAATGCCCCGTTTGTCGCCGCCATTGACGATAACAGAGATGAAATCATGGAACTGCTGGCAGGGTTGTCGTCCGCAGGCCTCACCAACTCATCAATCTCCTCTTGGACATCGGACAGGTCGAAGTTGCCCAAGTTAGTGTCCACTACTGGTCCGCGCTCAGAAGCCGGTATACTATTGTCTTCTATTTCCGCCATCTTGACTTAGGGAACTTCCAGGTGACAAAACAAATTACAAGCACAATTGTTTATTAATTGCCAATTCTAAGTATAAAAGACAATCGGGCATGCATCGGTTCCCAGAGGGCGCCTGAATCAACATTATATTTGTGGCTTTGACGTCATTGTCGTGTAAATCTGGCCATAATGTGCTCTTTGTTTCCGCTTCACTTCTGCAATGATAAAAATACAGAATATATAAATAAATGTTGAAAATAGCAATGACACATAAACGAGAGGCACGCATTCGTGTACCCCAGCACAGGTAGAGTTGTCATCACCTGAGGGTTGCCACGGCAACCTGACATAGGGATAGTATGGCGGCTGTCGTCAGACGGAAGTGGGGTAACTATTTTTCACAACGCCAGATTTCTTTACAGCACTGCCAGTAATAATTCTAAATCCACTACACAAAATCATTGCAGCAGTGACAACAACAAGGAGATTGCAGCTACAAATAAACAACATAATACAAACATTATCCGTCAAAATCGTGTTCCAGTTAAAGCACTTATGTGAGAGAAGCCATCTGTTTCTTCTATTAGAACTTCCACTATACAAATGACTTCATGTACAGTCACAACTGCAAGCACTCGACAATTTGTATCACTACTACTAGTAATACTGACAGCCGCCGTGGTGTAGCGGCTAGATGCTCACCTACGATCCCAAGGTCGTGGGTTCAAACCTGAACGGAGCGGGACACTTTTCAACAGTGACCCTGGCTCTCAAGTCGACCCAGCCTTAAATAGGTACGAGGTGGAGTCCTGGGAAGTAAAGGCGGCGCTCATGATGTCGACCATATCACCCAGTGGGTACTTATCGTCGACTGGTCTAGGTCTAGCACCATATGTCTGATACGCCTGGAGGCGTGGACAAGGTCCTTGAGTTTTTACTAGCACTACAACAACCTGAACACATTAGTCGACAACAACAACCTGAACACATTAGTCGACAACAACTTTTACCTGAACACATTAGTCGACAACAACAACAACCTGAACACATTAGTCGACAACAACTTTTACCTGAACACATTAGTCGACAACAACAACAACCTGAACACATTAGTCGACAACAACAACCTGAACACATTAGTCGACAACAACAACAACCTGAACACATTAGTCGACAACAACAACCTGAACACATTAGTCGACAACAACAACAACCTGAACACATTAGTCGACAACAACAACAACCTGAACACATTAGTCGACAACAACAACCTGAACACATTAGTCGACAACAACAACAACCTGAACACATTAGTCGACAACAACTATTACCTGAACTAATTAGTCGACAACTAGTGTTACTAGAATTTATTAGTCTACAACTACTATTACTTGAATTAATTAGTCTACAACTACTACTACTTGAACTAATTAGTCTACAACTACTACTACTTGAACTAATTAGTCTATAACTACTACTACTTGAACTAATTAGTCTACAACAACTACTACTACTTGAACTAATAAGTCTTCAATGTCTATAATTACTAAATTGTTATTACAAAAACAAATATCCCAGCCAATATCACTACCATAACCACCGTCCCCATCACTACTACCATAAAGTCATCGATCAGCTACTACAACTACTGTTGCTAGTACAACCACTACAACTACTGTTGCTAGTACAACCACTACAGTTACTACTTACACTACCGATGTGATAGGACAATTATTACAACTGCTGCTTCTACTACTACTACATACGGCAACGCCTTTAGTACACTTCCGAACCAACTGCAGGGTAGGAACACTGGTCTAAACAATGAACTGGGCAGCAAACAATGCTTGATGGAAATCCATCCACCTCATTATTGGGTGGATCCGCAAAAATCTTTGACCCCATCTGGGCCGATACGCTCTGGTTAACCTATGGAATAATTCTCATTTCCGTTTCCGGTGACTTGGGAGCGCAATTGGTAGCCAATCATCGTGGTCAGGGGAGGGAGTGTACAGTCCGACCTGGTGAAGCGTGCTTGGGGACGGCTCACTTGTTGACAGGATGTCTATAATCTGGGTTTGATCAAGTCAGCAGAACTGCAGGGGGAACTGTACGCTGACGTTCAGGGCTTGATCAAGTCAGCAGAACTGCAGGAGGAACTGTACCCTGACGTTCAGGGTTTTTTCTCTAGCGTGTCAGTGATTACCTTGATTGCTCTTGGGTATTGTCACAAGTGGTTCAGTCTCCTCTCATTCCACAAGAGTGCACTAAAACCCAAGGTTTTGTGAGTCCAAATCTGTGCATACCAGATGTTATAAATCCTGTCTGATGGGTACCATATAGACATCTAGGTTCTTGCCTTTGCAATGGCCTATTCAATCTACTCTCGACCTACTGTCGACCTACTCTCAGCCTACTCTCGAACTACTGTCGACCTACTCTCGGCCTACTGTCGACCTACTCTCGGCCTACTCTCGTCCTACTGTCGACCTACTCTCGGCCTACTATCGTCCTACTGTCGACCTACTCTCAGTCTACTCTCGACCTACTGTCGACCTACTCTCAGCCTACTCTCGTCCTACTGTCGACCTACTCTCGGCCTACTCTCGTCCTACTGTCGACCTACTCTCAGCCTACTCTCGACCTACTCTCGGCCTACTCTCGACCTACTCTCAGCCTACTCTGGGCCTACTGTCGGCCTACTGTCGACCTACTCTCAGCCTACTCTCGACTTACTCTCGGCCTACTCTCGTCCTACTGTCGACCTACTCTCAGCCTACTCTCGACCTACTCTCGACCTTCTGTCGACATTCCAAAGAACTGTAATCTGCAGTTCCCGCTTAGGCTTCGCCGCCCTAGTGTTAGAACAGACTCTCTGCTTCTCCACAAGCATGTCACAAAAGGCCACTGATTAAGGAATTGCTGGAATCTGAGGTGTTGAGCCGAAAGGCGCAGATATCGTAGCCTAGCTGTAAGCTACATCACAACGTGTTAACTGTCCTTTTGGGGGCAAATGCGGAAGAAGTAGAAGCGTGCACATGGAGTACAATGCCCTCATAGCTGTTTGCCAATATCAGTCGGCCAGAAGTGTGACACACTAAACAAAAACTTTCCTCTCAAAACGGAGCAACAACAACAGTAAACCCACGACCAGACCTCTGCATCATTGCTCATGACCAGTTGGCTTTTGCAGCTATGAAGTTCTATTCCATAGATAGCCAGCCATATGCCAATCGTGCTGGTGTTTCTTCAACATACAAGGTAGGTTGCTGTGCTCCAGTTCTTCACTTTCCTCACGGATCTCGCCACCACACGGGCAGCTCCAGAATCTGTGGATTGGACAGTCTTTTCCTTGTTTCTTTTGAAGCAAAAATAATCTCGCAGTGAACCGTGACTGTTGAAGACGGACACTTGTTTGATGCCACTCGGCTGCTAGACATTGGCGATAGAGCAAGGGTGAAGTGACATGAATGTTTCACCGTTCGCATCCTTTTCCTGCTGGATTGGATTAAATTCACTCCGTGGATTCTCCTCTTTTTCTCCTCCTCCTCCTCTTCTTCTTTCCCCTTTTACCTCACTGAAGTGTATCTGGGGAAGATGTAAAATCTTCTTTGTGCTCTTTCATGCGCTAATTAAGAGTATTTCCATTTCTGAAGAGCTGTTCTTGCTGCAGTAATTCCATCTACGTTCTGACAGTGCACGAGAAACGATTAGCGCGGTGTGTCTGTTGCTGTGTGTCCAGTTTATTTCTTCAGCACGGCTCTCTCTGGGGCTGTAGGTACCAGGGCATTGTCATCAGATGACCAAACCATCCCATCTGTTGCTCTTTAATTAACTGTATAACGAGTGTCCGTCATATCTTTTTAATTTTTTTTAAATTTCCTTTTTTCATTACTAAAACAGGTCTTGTAAGAATCTGATCTCTGTTGTTGTGCTTTTGCTTTCATTGATTGTAGTAAGCGTTCTTCTCTGTTGTGCTTTTGCTTTCATTGATTGTAGTAAGCGTTCTTCTCTGTTGTGCTTTTGCTTTCATTGATTGTAGTAAGCGTTCTTCTCTGTTGTGCTTTTGCTTTCATTGATTGTAGTGAGCGTTCTTCTCTGTTGTTGTGCTTTTGCTTTCATTGATTGTGGTTAGCGCTCTTCTCTGTTGTTGTGCTTTTGCTTTCATTGATTGTAGTAAGCGTCAAAATCTAACACTGGTTAACAACCCCTGAAGTTTAGAAGCGAAGTAGAATATGGTCAGTCCTAGCGTAAATTCTAAAGTCTGTCCACAAAAACGAATGTTTATAGCACTGTAATACAGGTTAAACATGCATGTGGATCCTTGCTGATGCTGCGGAATTTGTGCGTTGGGTGAGATGGTCCTGGTGCTCCGCATTGGAGGAGACTACAGATCCTATAGATTCCCATCTAAGTTTTGACAGTGCACGAGAAACGATTAGCAGAGAACCCCACAGGAATCATTGTTTTCATAAATATCTCACTCATATGTTGCTAAACAATAAACGACTCTAAAGATGTATTACACATAAGTAATGAAGGAAAGTAGAAAACAGAGTATACTGTTGTAAACGTTGATTCTGAATGTTAATAGGACTTTCTTGGAAGCACGTAAGCTGCACTTAACTACGGTGTGTTATAGGGGTGGGGGGGGGTGGAGCCACTTTTACTGCTGGGTAAGCTAACACTGGACAGGTCACTCCATGTAGAGCAGTACAGCTGACCTCTACTGTGACCTAACACGCCAGGATGTATTCAGACTTGTAACGTGTTCGTTGAATGGTGGTTGTAGGAGTCTAGGAGGATAAATAACGCCATCACATTATCTGTAGCAACAGCACAGGAAGAAGAAGAAGAAGAAGAAGAAGAAGAGAAGAAGAAGAAGGAGGAGGAGGAGAAGAAGAAGAAGAAGAAGAAGAAGAAGAAGAAGAAGAAGAAGAAGAAGAAGAAGAAGAAGAAGAAGAAGAAGAAGAAGAAGAAGAAGAAGAAAAAGAAAAAGAAGAAGAAGAAGAAGAAGAAGA